TCCTCCTCCTCCTCCTCCTCCTCCTCCTCCTCCTCATCTTCCTCCTGCTCATCATCCTCCTTCTCAACGCACGTGGAGTGGCCACGCAGTGTTCCGTGTTGAGTGTGCAATTCATCGGTCCCCGGCGGGCGCCCCCAGGCTGCGTGCCGTGCTGGGGGTTGCCCCTAATGGGGCAGTGCGGCTCTGCCCGAGCGCAGAGGCCGTAGCGAGGTCGGCGGCCTGAAGGGTACGCCACTCAGAGTTCCCAGCGAGGCCAGGTTTCATTCCAGTTGAGCCGCGAGCTACCCCGCAACAGCCCTAACTCCAGGAGTCCAGTCCAGTCCAGTCCTCCTCCTCTCCCCCTCCTCCTCCTCTCCTCCCCTGCTGATCCTCCTCCCCTCCTCCTCCCATCCTCCTCCCCTCCTCCTCCTCCTCCTCCTCCTCCTCCTCCTCCTCCTCCTCCTCCTCTCTCCTCTCCTCCTCCTCCGCCTCTTCCTCCTCATCCTACTCCTTCTCCTCCTCCTCCTCCTCCTCCTCCTGCTCCTGCCCATCCTCCTTCCCCTCCTCCTCCTGCTCCTCCTCATCCTCCTCCTCATCATCAGCAGCAGCAGCACCATCATCATCATCGTCAGCATCAGCATCATCATCAACCTCATTAGCAGCAGCAGCAGCAGCAGCAGCAGCAGCTACATCATCAGCATCATCCTCATCATCATCACCATCATCATCAGCATCGACATCCTCAACCTCATCATCAGCATCAGCATCATACGCATCATCATCATCATCATCAGCAGCAGCAGCAGCATCAGCAGCATCATCAGCAGCATCATCAGCATCATCATCACCACCATCAGTTTCCTCTTCCTCCTCCTATTTCTCCTCCTCCCCCTCCTCCTCCTCCTGCTCCTCCTCCTCGTCCTCCTCATCCTCTTCCTCCTCATCCTTCTCCTCCGCCTCCTCCTTCTCATCCTCTTCCTCCTCCTCGTCATCCTCCTTCTCCCCCTCCTCCTCCTCCTCCTCCTCCGCCTCCTCCTCCTCCATTCGTTCTCCTTATAAATAACTTTCCCCTGTCGCACCCCGAGGACAGCTGTTAGGGCGGGCCAGGCGTTTCGCCTGAGACTTCCTCACCACTTATGACCCTGAAGCTTAGAAGTTGACAGCATCTTCACAGATGGAGGGCGGGTGGCTTTCAAAAATGTGGCTCTCGCCTTAGCGCCGCGCACAGTCGCTTTAACATTTGCAACATCACGGATTGAGGGCGGGTGGTTTCCAAAATGTGGCTCTCGCCTTAGCGCCACGCACATGTGTCAAATGTTGCAAGGGCTTCACGGATCGAGGGCGGGTGGTTTTCAAAATGTGGCTCGCGCCTTAGCGCGGAACGAATTCGTTTCCACTATCTGCAAGAGCTTCACGGATTGAGGGCGGGTCGGTTCCAAAATGTGGCTCTCGCCGTAGCGCCACGGACATTTGTTCTCAGAAATTGCAAGGCCTTCACGGATTGAAGGCGGGTCGTTTTCAAAATGTGGCTCTCGCCTTAGCGCCGCGCACATTCGTTTCCACTAGCTGCAATAATTTCACGGGTTGGGGGCGGATCGTGTTCAAAATATGGTTCTCGCCTCAGCGCCGCGCCCATATGTTTCCAGAAAAAAATGCAAGACCTTCACTGATTGAGGGCGGTTCATTTTCAAAATATGGCTCTCGCCGTAGCGCCACGCACATTTGTTTTCAGAAAGACGAAAGGCCTGCACGGGCTGGGGGCGGTTCCTTTTCAAAATATGGCTCTCGCCTCAGCGCCGCAAACATTCTTGTTTAAAAAAACTGCAAGAGTTCCGCGGATTCCCATGATCGACGCACCAGAAATGGTGTGTTGTAAGGATTCACGATTTTGACGGCGCAGCAGTTACGATGATTCGCGGAGTTGAGGTCCCAGGAATGGCGTTCTGGCACGATTCAGGACCATCAAGGCGCAACAGTCAGGTTCATCCGTGGCGTTCGAATACTGAAAATGAGATGGTGGCATCGTCAGGGTCGTCAAACGGCAAGTCCCCATGTGGAAATCCCACGAAATCCCACGAGACAAGCCCCATCTGTGGAATTGAACCGTTGTAGGGGCCTATGAAGCGGGAGCGTGGGGTGAGGGATTATTCCAACATCGTTGGTGGCTCTTGGGTTTACACTGGTCCTCCTCCTCCTCACCCTCCTCCTCCTCCTCCTCCTTCTCCTCCTCCGCCTCCGCCTCCGCCTCCGCCTCCGCCTGCGCCTCCTCCTTCTCCCCCTCCTCGTCTTCGTCCCCCGCCTCATCCGCCTCCTCCGCATGCGCTTACGTCTCCACCTCCGCGCCTGCCTCCGCCTCCGCCTCCGCCACTACCTCCGCCTCCGCCTTCGCCTCTGGTTCCGCCTACGCTTCCTCCTCGTCCTCCTCCTCGTCCTCGTCTTCCTCCTCTGCCTCCTTTCCTCCTCGACCTCCTCCTCGTTTTATGTTTAGTGGTCCTCCTCCTCCTCCTTCTCCTCCTCCTCC